TTTGAAAACATCGTTAATTTTAAGCACAATTTGTAGACCGCAAAAAGGACATTTTATATTTGTTCGCCACTTTACATCTTTCCATCGTAGCTTTCTCTAAGTCAACAAAAAATTTGCAAACAAGCAGATGTTTATTATTTAAATGCTAACCTCGTTTTGTTTTGCCCACTTGGACAATATTTTTGTGAATTGGGAATATATTCTTAGTGAATTGCTTAAAAGAGCAAAAAAAAAAACAACAACAACAACTTAAAGAAATTGTTAAGCGTTTTAGAAAAATAATGTTGTTGAATTTGCCAGTATGAGAAGATACAAGGGTTGTCACCGGCACATGCCTGCAGATGTCTACAGATGAGTAGATGACAACATTTTCCAAGAATATCAGATAAATGAAGTTCAGGATGAGGTAGAGTACATAAGGGTAAAAAGTCATTGTTACTCTAGAAAACACAGTGCAAAATCACTGTCAAAGTCGAACCCTATTGAAATAAAAGCAGATTCGAACCCTATTCAAATAAAATCATCGATTAGATACACTTTGTATATTTCTCATAAGATCGAACTTATTTTATAATTATATGTGACAAGTATAAATATTTTAAGATTTTTATGTGCATTTAGGGAGGATTACAAACATCACAGTTCATACGATAGCTATGTATCTACAGAATAAAGTGTTCAATTTTGGATCTGATTGGATTACAAATTTTTGAGTTATCGTCCCCGCCATTTGTAAAAAAACTGTTTCGAGAAAAATGCGTTTAAAGTTTGAAAAGCAGTGTTCCGGTCACTTGATGCTAGCATAATAAATCGGCTATATCTTCAAGAGTTGTAGAGATTTTCACTTAAAATTTATAAGGACATTCTTGAATTTGTGTAAGTTGTAATAAAAACAAGTGGAAAAGTGTTAAGTTCTGCCGGCCCGAACTTTGGATACAAACAAGTGAACAAAAAAGTGATCCTATACCGACAATTCTACAAATCGGTGTATGTTAACCATTATGTACACCAAATACAAATTTCAGCAATTTTTAATTTCGAGTAATGACTATCCCCTATACTATGGTAGAATATGCCTATATGGGGACAACCCACGAAACTAATCAGCTAACTATTTTAATATAAGACTACAAAATACCAAATTACAACGAATTCGGTTGAAAAATGCGATAAAAACTCCCCAAATACCGAAAATTTGGAAGGTACCGTTACATGGGGGCAACCAGAAAAAGTGGACCGATATTTATAATTTGTATTGGCGACATTTGGTACCCAAAAATAACACAATGTACCAAATTTCATCGAATTCAGTCGAAAAACGCGCTCAAGAACCCCAAAATACCGAAAATTATGGGGTAAGAACCCATTGTACCAAATTTAAGCGAATTCGGTTAGAAACGCGCTAGAAACGCCCCACACAACATTCCGTAAATTCGGGGGGTACCTTTATAAGGGGCTACCAGAAAAAGTGGACCGATATTTATGATTTTTTAAGTGGAGACATTTAATACCCACAAACAACCCAATGTACCAAATTTCAGCGAATTCGTTTGAAAAACGCGCTCAAGCTCCCCAAATTATCGAAAATTGGGAGTGCCCTTATATGGGGGCTAACCGAAAAATAAGCCTATTTTTATAATTTTTAGTGGAGACATTTGGTACCCAAAAATTTTCTTTATAAAAACGCGCTTAAAACTTAACCTGCCTGCAGACAAAAGAGAGTCTATGCAAAATGTTGGACATCTATCTCAATTCCTTCAGAACATAGCGTACCGACATAGCTAGATCGTCTTAGAATTTTACCCTGATCAAGAATATATATGTACTCTATAGGGTCGGAAATGAATATTTCGATGAGTTACAAACGAAATTAAAAAACCAGTAAGGAAAGTAGTAAAGTCGGACGGGGCCGACTATATGATACCCTTCACCACTATGGGTATATTAAACAGGACTATTAACGTGTAATTGGATGAAAAAATATGTGATATTTATCTAAATGTGAATCTACCAAGATCTATCCATAAAGTATGTTAATCGACTTCAAACAAATATAAATAAGTCATCCGTTGGGCTATGTCTGTACTTTTAGAAAACGCAACTACGTAATTCTATGCTCAATTTTGTCCGTTGTGCACAATTTGATGTCAATTTGACTAACATGAGGAGTTTGATGCCCAATTTACTTGAAATCGGGCGAAAATATATATGGAAGCTCTATCCAAATATTAAGCGATTTCAAACAAACTTGTCACAGGTTAGGTTATACTAATTTCAGAACGTTTTGATTCTATTGGTTCCTTAGTACGTCAATTACTTAAAATCAATCTATAATAAAAGGGAGCTATATCTAAATCTGGACCGATTTTCCCGAAACTTAGCATCATTTTAGGCTCAATTCAGTACGTTATGACAAATTTCGTGCAAATCGAAAGTTATATAGGGACTTTGAGGCACCATTTACATGAAATCGGCCGAAACTATATATGGGAGCTATATCTAAATCTGGACCGATTTTCTCCAAACTTGGCAGACATCACTCTAGGCTTAATTCAGTACGTTATGCCAAATTTCGTGCAAATCAAAAGATATATAGGGACTTTGGGGCACCGTTTACATGAAATCGTACGAAACTATATATGGGAGCTATATCTAAATCTGGACCGATTTTCTCGAAGCTTGGTAGACATCTATCTAGGCTCAATTCAGTACGTTATGCCAAATTTCGTGCAAATCGAAAGTTATATAGGGACTTTGAGCCACCATTTACATGAAATCGGACGAAAGTATATATGGGAGCTATATCTAAATCTGGACCGATTTTCTCCAAACTTGGCAGACATCACTCTAGGCTTAATACAGTACGCTATGCCAAATTTCGTGCAAATCAAAAGATATATAGGGACTTTGGGGCACCATTTACATGCAATCGTAAGAAACTATATATGGGAGCTATATCTAAATCTGGACCGATTTTCTCCAAACTTGGCAGACATCACTCTAGGCTTAATTTAGTACGATGTGCCAAATTTCGTGCAAATCGAAAGATATATAGGGACTTTGATGCACCATTTACATGAAATCGGACGAAACTATATATGGGAGCTATATCTAAATCTGGACCGATTTTCTCCAAACTTGGCAGACCTCACTCTAGGCTTAATTCGGTACGTTATACCAAATTTCGTTCAAATCAAAAGATATATCGGGACTTTGGGGCACCATTTACATGAAATCGGACGAAACTATATATGGGAGCTATATCTAAATCTGGACCGATTTTCACGAAACTTGGCAGACATCATTCTAGACCTAAATGATTAGGCTGTACTAAATTTCGTGCAAATCGAAAGATATTTAGGGGCCGTTTACATTAAATCGGTTAAATATATATATGGGAGCTATATCTAAATCTGAACCGATTTTTCCCAATTTCAATAGGGTTCGTCCTTGGGCCGAATAAGTGACCTATGCCAAATTTCATCCAATTCGGATCATAAATGCGACCTGTACTTTGTTTACAATTTAACATGGACAGACAGACAGACAGACAGACGGACAGACGGACGGACGGACGGACATGCATAAATCGACTTAGAAAGTGATTCTATGCATATTCTCAAAAGGAACCATGTGTCTATCTCGTTTCCTTTTGCCTGTTACAAACATATGCACAAAGACATAATACCCTGTACCACAGTGTGGTGAAGGGTATAATTAATATACCCTCCATACTATGGAGGGGAGGGTCCCCTTAAGGAGTTAGTGGTGGCAACTTCAGTCGAAATGACTCCGCCTGTGTGATCGACGAAAAATTTTCAAATTGCATTTTAATAATGCGCTTCCAAAAAGGCTAAATCTGTCCTATCGACGAAAGAACGCTTTGACATGTTTTACCGATCAAGAATAAAGACTGTCAAATTACATCCACTTCGATTGGAAAATGCGGAAAATGTATTTATTAATTTTCGAAGTTTTAGCTTGAATATTGAGAGTTCAATTGTGATTTTAACATCACAGATCGATTTCTGTACCCTCCAAACTATATTGTAGACAATTATCAATATAGGTCCATGTTCCACTTCCACTTCGATTGGAAAATGCGGAAAATGTATTTATTAATTTTCGAAGTTTTAGCTTGAATATTGAGAGTTCAATTGTGATTTTAACATCACAGATCGATTTCTATACCCTCCAAACTATATTGTAGACAATTATCAATATAGGTCCATGTTGTGATATAGTCAGATTATCCAACATAACTGGCTATAAGTTGGCTTTCCGGGTTCTTAGCGCTAAAATTCTTTGAAATCTACCCACAAAAAAATGACCCCCATATTTCCGTACACCCAAATATTTGGAATTTTTAAACATTTGGGCGCGTTTTAAATAGAATTGAATTGATATTAGGAATTCTCTCTCAAAATTATCAATATTGACCCATGTCCCGGATAGACCCCACATAACGGGACTCACCACTTCCGGTATTTTGAGGATATTCGACATATTTTTTTAACAGAATTGACTGTAATTTGTAACATTGAGTTTCCATTGAGTAGTTATTCTTCCTACCAAAATGGTTGATATGTCGTCAACCCTAAATAGTGGACCCAAATATTTGGTATTTTGAGAATATTGGACACGTTTTTCAATCAATTTACATATAATTTGGTATGTTGAGTTTTTATTTCCTACCAAAATTGTCTATATTGGTTGACATTTTACGATAGACCCCAAATACTCGGTATTTGAGGGATTTCCTTTTTAAACCGTATTGGCTGTTATATCGTATGTTGACAACGTTTTTACTTTTATTCAGTATCGTACCTATTCCGTATATTTGTACTATTAATACTATTTTGAGATATTATGCCTTATTAAAAATAACTATTCAATGTTTATACATATCCCATCGATTTTTATATTTCACATCAATGTACACATTCAATAATAAAATACACATTTTATAAATTTATTAAATTTCATTTTTCGTTTCTTAGGTGACATTATGGACATTATGGCTCTCATCAACTCCAGCATTAACTTCATTCTCTACTGTTCGATGAGCCGACAATTTCGTACAACATTTACCCTACTCTTTCGTCCGAAATTTCTCGATAGATGGTTGCCAGTGGCTCAAGATGAGGAGACAATGGCTGGCACCAATCGTCCATGTCGTCAGAGTAATCGTGGCGGTCAAGGACCTGCACCGAATGGCATTCGACGTGATGAAGTTAGCAAAAGCTGTGTGATAGAACAAAATCAAATGACTACAACACAGGTAACAAATGTGTAGCATAAAGCGAAACAACAACTATTAACGTCGGCAAAAACAACAACAAAACAAAGCCACGTTGCAGCAGCAGCGTCCGAAGCAGCTAATGTAGATTTAGTTATATCCCCTATACAAGATAAGGCTAGTAATAGGAATCTAGTTGATAGAACCAAGTGTCAAACACATAACCAACAACAACTTCTAGTAGTTAGGGAGGATGAACCCGTATGTGACATTGAAAAAAATTATCCCACAGAGGATAATGACAATGGCTGTAACCTCAAAGCCCATCGAAAACAGAGAACGCCCAGCAAATGGCGGGCCAAATCATCTTCATCTTCGTCTGTGCTATTAAACTGTATAATATGTAATCTTAAACGGCATCATAGTTTTAAACAACAGCAAGGTCAACATTTGTTAGGTTTCAGTGCGCCAACGGTGACAGCAACGACTGCCGCAAACACAACCACTGGTAATCCTTTAACACAACCGGCTGTCGTTGTGGTTATGGCAAAGGACTCGTCTACAGATCATCAAGTTTATGTGACACATTTAGTAACTCAATGTGCTGAAAATGATATGGAAAATGTTGAGAGGCCGTTGTCGTGTAATGTTTAAAACTGGTGGCAACGACAACAAACCATGGTTTCAAAGGTATCATTGGTGCGGCTGGTCCTGTCATTATTTGCATCAATGATGTTAATGTTTCATTCATTCAATGTTTTATTGTGTCAAATGAAATATGTCCGACATACAAAATTTACAGACCTTTTTGCATTAAAAGGGTCTATTTGGGAAACCTTTTCCATTCCACAATGTATGCATGGAATGTAATTTATTTTTCTTTTATGTGAAAAATAAAACATTATTAAGATTTTTAATAAAATCCTTAAACGTGATTTTAGCAACTGCACCGATTATGGGTATGACTACAATTGTAGCTTATTTAACTTTGTAAAAGAAACTTAATGTTCGTCTGGTCCGAACTGTTTATATTGAAGTCAACTCCAGCAGTGCCATTAAATGGACACTAAAGTAATGTGGGATTCGGGAATTTAATATAATACATGAATACGTTTTGAAAATATTTCAGAACACACAATCAATGTTAACATAAATTCATATTCATAGCTTGTGGCATAAATGTAATTCATAGTGATACTTATAAATTAAACAGAAAATTATATTCCATCGCAAGATTTATTCATAAGTTTAACAGGGATGCGAATTCGATTTCTTCATTGACTGTTAAATTTAAATTAGTATTCGAACCAAAATAGTTACGCACATTACTATCATTACGTTTTTTTTTAAATATTCTGAATTTTTATTATGTTCTGGATGGTATTTCGCGATTAAAATATTGACAGCATCAGAAGACTAAGCCATGAATTCGCCACCCTGTAGACCTTATGTAATAGGCCACGTTCTATCGGATTTCAGTAAAAAATTAAAAAATTGTACAATTTCTTCAAACATTTTTGATTCGAGAATACAATTGCGAGGCTATTGCGAGTTTTTATGTACTGAAGAATCGATATCGATATACAATTATGTATACGGCTATGTCATGTACACATTTGAAATGGATTGGAGTAAAAACGCAATTTCCAAAAAACAATTCCAATGAAAAGAAATAAAATCCTCGTTGATTTCACCCTGGTATTTAAAATACGCAAAACCCGTCGAGATATTTATAAAGATGATGTGTTTTTGTAAATTGGCTAGATACATTTTTTGACCTCTGACGAAACCGCCAACATACCTAAAGTAAGATGGGATAACTGTTAAAACTGTAAGAGTAGATACCACTTCCGATGGAAAATGAAACCTTACTTTATACCCTCCACCATGCAGATGACATTCAATATGCGTAAAATTAACGGGGCTCATACTATCTACAATATACCGAAAAATAGGGATGGTGCGAAATGAAAAAAGTCAAATTTTGCCTTCCTTAAATATGAGATGAGTAGGTGATTAAATTAAAAAAAATGTATTATTTTAATATACATCATTTGTACGCACGTTAAATTTTTACACATATGTTTAATAGAAAATACATGGTAAATCATTACTAATCGTGAAAATTTTTAAAACTAAAGACAATTTGTCTGTTCCAGTACTTTTTTAATAGTAAAACTAGTAAAAGGGAATCATTTAAAAATCGCTCTCAGAGTACAAAATAAGTTGAAAAGTTCTGGAACGCATATCTAGTAAATATGCCAAAATTAGACGGCAATACGTCAAAATCAACATAACAGCCAATCAGAAGTACGCATTCCCGTTTACAAAGAGAACGCCATTTTGTTTTGTGCTCTCTTAAATTTGATTTAATGTTTTACCAGTTTTGTGTGTTCAGGAACGTTTTTCGAAAAAAAGTGGCAAAACTTGTAAAATTAGATGTTTCTTTTAGGTTCTGGAACGGAACTAATATTTTATATTCATTAAGCTCACAAAAATATATAACTTCATTACTCTTATAGTACGTTTACATTTAACCGGATTTCGTTAACCCATATGTCAAATAAATTCTCACAAAGTAGGTTAACCCGGTAAAAAGTTCTAATGTACAAGGAGTTTTAAAGTATTGCGTATATATTCAATGTTTTGCATATACAAAAAATAATGTATATTTCAAATCAAGTCTTCTATTTTTAGATTGTTTAGAAAAAATTACATCGAAAGCTATAGCACGCATTTCAATATAAATCTCTGCAGTACAAAATGTCAAGTTTCAGTTGGGTTGGGTCCAAAACACATCGTTTGTAATAGCAAGACATTCACATAAAGCAGCATTTCAGTTCTGAGTATCTACCATTTGATGTTTATGACCGAGTCTTGTAGCTATAGAAAATAAATTCATTGTGCGAGGATATTTTATTTTTGTTCTTGAGTTATAAGCGGTGCAATTGCCGAATCGGCAAAAGTTGTTTGGATATAATTTTTGGTTTTGTAATTATTGCATTCATGGAAAATTCATTTAAAAGCGTGATATATGATTTTGACATCAAGAGTCGGAATTATCATTTAGGATTCGGATTTAATCCTACGGTCAATAACCGGGTACATTTGTACCTTTTTTGAATAAAAATGCTGTAAAATTTTTAATAATGGAGATATTTGGATCAAATTTTGAGGAATCATTCTTGAGTTATTTTCACACATAATCGAAGAAAAAATTATAAATATTGTCCATATATAATTTTTACAATTTTTTAAAGTTATTACCTACGTAGATCAATAACCGTGGTACATTTGTACCCATCCAAAGATAGCTAAGTAACTCATTAAAAAATTGGACTATCGTGCGGTTTTTTGTTTTTAATTAGTCTATACGGATCTGGTCTAGATGTAGGAACTCAAAATTATATATACATTAAAATAATATATATTTAAATCCATGCTTAAATGATAATCTATCTAAAACAATCATAGTAAATTCGTTATAGCTTTCGAATGGGTTAAGATTTTTTATTTTTTTTTATTGGGATCTTATTTAGGTGTTACTCAACCCCTCTGCAAATTGAGGCCCTGGATAACATGGGGCCATCAGGGGGCCATTAGATTCCAGTGCTATGTAAGCTTTTTATACTTTCGCCATAAGGTAAAGTGTATATTATAATGAAACACTGGAGACCCCAGAAGGTATATGTATAACCCCACATATAACGGTACCCCAAATATTCGGCATTGACTGTAATTTTGTATTTTTGGCGATATCGGCCCACTTTTTATGATAGCTCTTATACAACGGTACGTATTTATTCCGTATTTTGGGGTGTTTGGATAATTCGGTTATAATTTAGTATTTTGAATGGTAGCAAATCTTTCTACCAAAAACTATGAATATTAGTTCAATTTTTAAGATATCCCCATATAACGGTACCACCATTAGTGTTTTGGTGTTTATGCACGTTTTCAAGCACTTGCATGTAATATGATACATTGAGTTGTCATAGGGTAACAAATCTCCTTACCATAAGTTATCGATATCGATCTACTTTTTTAAGATAACCACCACAATCCCCGAACGACTACTGATATAAAAGTTTGACCCGGTTGAACTTAACGACGTTTTTACTTGTTATTAGATGTCCTCATTTTATGTATCGGTAGTTTGCTATATCCTTCACATTAGATATTATGATTATTATGCATGTTTTATATTGTTGGTTTACCGATTTATCCCATTTGCAATATCAAACATCTAAGGAGTAATAACAATATATTTGCAAAACTTCAAAGTTCTATATATTTTTTTATATTGCTGCTTTATAGTTTATTAGTCAAACTTTGCATTGAAAAGGAAAGTTAGAGAAAACATGCGATTCAAAGTATCTTTTTATATTAGTTTTCTCTGTGATGAACATTTTGGTATCGGATACATGCGAGGTTTTGTGTTGATATTGACCCCCGATCAGGTATATAACTACCATATAATGGTACGTGGCATAGGTATGTAATTCAAGGAACAACATGTTCCTATGGAACTATTATTATTATTATTTTCAACCAAATAATCTAGGCATGGATCTTAAAATCAAAATTCTATAAATGGATACATACTCAATTCAGAAAGTCTTCTTATTGCCCATCCTTGCATTTGTCCCAAAATTACGTGAATTCTATGTGAATCGCGTGTGCATTCAATAATATACTTTTCAATTATTTTTTTGTATTGTCACATAAAATATTTTCAATACAATGTCAATCTAATCGAAAAAATTAAATATTTTGAAAATTTTCAATAATTGACAAATGAAGGCTCAAAAGAATGATACGCTACCAATTTTTTATCAAAGGATCACAAAATAAAACTACGACATGGTGCAATCAAAATAGCTCGATACTACATTCGTGGAAATGCAAATATGCTTCATAATTTTTTTTTTGCAATTTTTTCGCGGTTTTCGATTTTTTCTCACCTTTTAAACCTTTCCTGGAGCTCCACGAACATATCAAGACAATGATAAGAAAAATCTGTTCAGCCGCTCTCGGGTTTTAGCGAGACTAACGAACAGCAATTCATTG